TCTCTCTCTCTCTCTCTCTCTCTCTCTCTCTCTCTCTCTCTCTCTCTCTCTCTCTCTCTCTCTCTTGCTCTGTGTGTGTGTGTGTGTGTGTGTGTCTGCCCGGCTCTCTGCCCCGACCCACACCTGCTCTCTCTCTCTCTCTCTCTTCCACCCACCCCCCCCACGCTGGGGCACACATTGTCTTGAACTCATCCTCCCCGTCCCCTTGGTGGATATGCCGTTGGAGCCGGGACATGCTATGCTTAAGTAACTGTGAAGGTCAGACCGCTCTCCTTCTGGCATGCCAGCAACATGCCCTGTGTCGTCAATGTTTCCAAAACGTTGTCATTGAAAGTATGCGTATCCACTGCATGATGTGATCACTCCCTTCATCGTCTTCGAGCATGCCCCACATGCAGTGTTGGACACACACCTACAGTAGGATCTCGTTCATCCTTGCCAGACGGGCGGCTGACAGCAGCCTGAGGTTGACAATAGAATAGGTAGACTCACATGAACCACCTGTAGTGGGCTGTACCGAAAGGTCATGAATGGCAGGGCAAGCTGTTGCGTGCCAAATCTCGCAACAGCTAAACGCCCTCCCTTACTTTGGATCAGACGCCGTCATCGCCTGCGTATGGAGAGGGAGTACTGGCTGTGCAAATCTAAGAAACTTGCTCATTTGTGCTTTGTGATTGCCCACCTGAGATTTGGCTAGCATGGGCTTCTTATGATTTGTGAAGTGAGGATAATGAAGGTGTCCCCCATGCAAGTTTTTGTCTTCATATCTATATGATGGTAGCCAACAGTGCACACATGTACGCCAACCTGACATCTGCTACATGCTATTACGGTTCCGAAGGTCGGGAGGTGGGACCATATTCTGCCTGTCTGTGAGATGGGCCGTCCGATATGCAACGAATTTGCAGCCTCTATCGACGGCTTGGCAGAGAACGGTATTGTAATAAAGGCGGGAGCAAATTAAAGGTGGTGGGACTATCTCTACCCCGTAGGAAGAAAAAAGAAAAAAAAAGCTACTGTGCTGTGTCATGATGGGTGTTGGTGCACCGCAGACCAGCTGCCATAAAAAGGCGGGAAAAGGAAAGGGCTAATGGGAGGGGAAAGGGGGAAAAAAGACACATGGGCCGGTTCTGGGCCTCTGTACGACTGAAAAAAAGAAAAATGAAAATCGATGATACCGGGCCTCGATGCACCAGTGGACAAAAATGCGCCACGTACCGAAACAGACAAACGTTTTCGTCATTGGTGCGTCGAGGTGCAGTATGCGAAAGGGAAAAAAAAAAGATGTTGATTAGGAATCCCACTGAACTGAATTCGTACTACTAGCGTACCAGGCCCGTTCATCCTGAAAGTCACAGCCCTAAACGACCCACGACTTTGGGAAGTACTCCTGGTTTAGTTGTTTTATATCTTTTTGGGGTATAGAACAGGTGCAGCTGGGTTTCAATTTTCTGCCATCGTGTCGTTCAGTCCGTGCTGAATCTACAGTTTTATCATTTCTGTGACTTCCGCCCCTCTATGTGGACATCCTCAATGGCATGTATGGGAACGTGCTCTCCTCTCGAAACATAGAGAAGATGATTTTAGGATGGAATACACCATGGCAACTGTGGACCCAGACCCGGACATGTCCGGACCGAGGCCCAGCCAGATATTTGTCTGGACGAGTTCAGACGTCCGGTCATCTGGACAGGCGCTGGACAAGCGGACAGGACGAGACCCGGACCGTCCGGGCCGGTACACCAGACACAAAAATGTCCGGACCGAAAAAAAAAAAGAAGAAAAAAAGGTAGTAAGAGCTTCTCGAGATGATCCAGGGAACCAACTGAAAGCTAGCAGAAAACTTGTGGAAGCGGTGGCCACAACCTTGGACCATGCGGACAAAAAATGAGCGATCACGATCTTCACACAAAGATGGATAGATCCGAACCACAAAACGGATGAGTTGCAAAGTGATGGCAGGCTGACATGGAAAATTGGGCAGCAGAGGACCATCGATGGATATACAGACCAACTAGTAAGTGCGTTCCTACACCTCTCCCTGCACACCCAGAACGAGTGCTAGATGACGTGCCAGTGAGCGACGGGGAGCAGGACCTACCCCACGATGTCGGGGCCTGCCACTCGCCTCCAACATTTTCAGTCCCCCCCACTCCCGTCCCAGCTCCCTCCTCCCGTCCCCACGCCGCCCCCCCCCCCCCCCCCCGACTGCCCCCCGCCCTAACCCCTTCGCCTCACCCCCCGCCTCCTCAGGACTGGCCCCCTCCCACACCCCTCCCCCCTCCGTCCCTCCCTGCAGGTACCCCGCCTCCCATCTTCTCCCCCCCTCCCCCCCTGCTAATTACCCCCCTCATTTCATGTCCCAACATCGCCTAATTTCCCCTCCATCCCCACCATGCCCTCCCTCTCCCCCACTTCCCAACATGCCCGAGCGACGGCCGGCCAGCCCACGACATCAACTGCTTACCTCCCAGAACAGGGTCTGGGAGAAGCATGGTCCATGATCCAACTGACACCGTACACACGATGGGAGCATGCCATCTTATTGCAGATTTGCAGGCTTCGCAAATGTGTGACGCATGAGTGTTGAAAGGGTATAGGGTTCAAAGGATTGAAAGGATAGTCACAACAATAAAATTGGAAATGGGGAATAGGTTGTAAAGGGTTTAAAGGGACAGTCGTAGCAAATACAAGCAGGGGGGCTGCTGAAATAGGGCTGGGCCGATAGATAAGGGATGCTTCAAAAAAGGGAAGGGGGAAAATAGCAGCTCCATGGGATAATGGAGCCCCACAGCCATAGGAATCAACAAACTCCAGTCTTTGTGCTCAATGATGTATCTATGGGACGCTGGACCCGGTTTTTAGCAGGTGCCGCTCCCCACCAATAGATGGAACAGCCCAACAGAAAAGCGCTCAAACAGAAAAGCGCTCAAATCAGACGGTTCTCGTATCACCGTCAGGATAGAGTGATATCGCAAGGGCTATTCTCGGGAGAGAAAAAAAAAAAAAAACATGGATACAACAACTTTCAGAATGTGACTGTGTTTGCTGTAAGATGCAGTATATAGAAGAAGATTGTGAGCACGACCTCCTAGAGTACCGTGCCTGACATTATTGCATTGTAGAATATTTTTTTTTTCCCCCTCTTTCCCTTTTTCGTGTAGGCAAACGAAAATTAAGATCTATTGGATTTCCCGACCCTGGGTCTCACTCCCGATTTCTTCGGGAACTGGCAGAAACGCATAATTTCCCAATACCAGCCAAGGTACTCGTCGCTCGAAAAAAAAAAACCCACGAGTATCAGATGGGTCAAATGCAGCGGGGCCCAAGGGCCAAGGATGGGGGAAGAGGTGGAAGAGGAGGAGGAGTAAACAGAGGGAGGGGTGGGTATAGAGGATTATGACAGGAAGCGATTTGTAGCATAGCGGGATGGGAATAGTAGCAAAGATTTGGTGAATGGTAGATGTATAACAGATAGGTTCGTACAGAAGGTGGGTGAATAGATGGGCAAGGGAAAGGGGGTGGAAGTCAGTAGGGAGGATGATTTTCTTGTGGGGAAGAAACAGGAGAATGTTGGCTTTATCAAATAATAGAGATGAGAGATACACAGTGCAATTTTGATGAATGTTATAGATAGGTATATAGGGGAAAGGAATAGGAAAATGCCGGGGCCATCAGTGGCAGATGTACAATGTGATTTTGATGGATGATATAGGTAGGCTTAAAAATGTTGATGCTATTAATGGTGGAACGGAGAATACGAAATTTAACTTTATAATACAACCTTTGAAGTAGTGATAAAGCTAGGTAGGCTGTGGAGTGGTAGGAAATAGATGATGATTGGGCAAGCAGGCACTACCTCGAAACCACCCCCCTTTCCCGAGTTCTGCCGCGTGGTGGACTACCCTACTGCGTCTCTAGGTGTTACTAGTAAGCCTCGTGGCCAGGGTTGGGGCGGTTGGTGGTTTTGGGATCCCATAGAAAATGCATCTTTGATGCCTTGGGTATTAGCTACAACTTGTATTCATTCAGTCATTTCATTTCGGTTGAATTCTTGGACTTTCTTTCTAAACATTGTTACTTTTTTATTCAGTCTTTTAGGTACTTCTTTTGTTTGTTTTGGATTTATTTGCATCTGTTCATAGCTTTCTGGTGCGTAAACCAATTTCACCATAGTCGTTTCTTTCTGAAATATGTATACAAGTTAATTGCCTAAAAGGAGTACCAGCATGTCAACCACCTCAGGGAGTATATCTTGCGTCGAAAGCTTTAATAATATAATATCTGATTCGAAAGTGAGAAATTTTGCTAACGCGCCTTGATCGTTAGTCTTTTCTGTTTATCTAGATGACATGATGAGTCAATTATTTGCTTTATTCATATTAATTGTAGCTGCTGCAAAATCTATTATTGGGCTCGCTATTCTTGTTATTACTTTTCGAATTACTCTGAGATTCTTAGCAACTCCCTCGGGCGAATTCACCATTTTTCTATATCTTTGTGATAGTGTTTAACCTCCAATCTTCTTTTTGGAATTTCCTTTTTAAGCAGTCATTCGGGAAAAGAAATCAACCTTGTACTATAAGATCCCGTATTGGTTATACATCCTCCTTTTATTTATACGGGATACGTTGTGAGTACTGTTGGTTTAACTGCTAGTACACCACTTATTTGTTCATTGACTAAGTTTGGAATGAATTCAAAAATCATTTAAACAAAAGATTGTCAAGCATTAGGTACCTGTTATCGAAACACAAGTTGGAGATGTAACTGCTTATATTCCTACCAATGTAATCTCCATCACAGACGGACAGATCTTTTTGGAAATAGAAGGTTGAAATTTTCATATCCCTACGGTTTTAATATACTTTATTTCTATTTATAAAATTTGTTTACCATTGGCTTAAAGTAATTTAATATTAGAACTTATAATTCCAATAATACATATAAAAATGGTTATTGCTTATTCTAGTTGCAGGCTTGTAGCCAATTAGGTTATAGGGTATAGTCAATGACTTAACGTGAGTCAAATGCTACCTTTAATTCCTTGCATGTTGAATAGAGTGAAACTTCCCCACTGAGCAAAACATGCCAGCGGTACTCGAGTCGTCGACGAGCCTCAAGTTATATCACCTTTACTGGCCAACATTGTTTTGCACGGAATGGAGAATGCTTTGAATGAGTGGGCTCAGCAACAGGTGGCCGAAGGCCGAGTTATCCTAATAAGATACACCGATGATTTCGTTGTTCTTCACAAGGCTTGAAGAGTTGTTCAGGGCGCTCAAGGATTCCTATCATGTAAAGTAAATATACATATTATTATAACCTAATAAATCTAATATTATATTAATAATGAATAAATTCTGCATTTAAAAACTTTTAGCATTAAATGCCGTTAATTAAATTTTTATTTTATTTGATTTTTAATTTTATTTATTATTTGATTTTATTTAAGTAATATTTTATATTATTAAAATTTATGTTGATGAATAAATATTAAATATTGAAATTGAATAAATATTGAATTAAATTATGTAACCGTAAGATAATATTTTTTTTGAGTTAAATAGTATAAATGACGCCTTCATACATAGATAGGTATTAGAGAATCTTTCTTGAACCGTATGTGCAAGCATACGGTGACTCAAACGGTCGCTTAAAAAAAAGAAATAAAATAGACACAAGGTAAAATCGTATATCAAAACGAATTCTAGCATCATAAAAAAGGATAGGGATCAAAACTTCAATCTGATTTGCACAGATTTACTGAAGTGCCATCCAAACCGTGCGAAATAGTTGCTCATTACACGACTCACTAACTCTGCTTTCGATATATGTAATTGACTAGCTTCAAGTATGGTCATATAATTTTTATTTGCATGAGCTCATCTTAGGACACCTGCGTTATCTTCTAACAGATGTGCCGCCCCAGCCAAACTCCCCACCTGACAATGTCTTTCGCTTGGATCGGACGAGGGCCTGCACCTTGGATCGAGAAGCAGGGGCAGAGCCCCGGCTCCACCTCACGAAATAAGTAAAATAACGTTAAAAGTAGTGGTATTTCACTTGCGCCGTAAGGCTCCCACTTATTCTACACCTCTCAAGTCATTTCACAGAGTCGAACTAGAGTCAAGCTCAACAGGGTCTTTTTTCCCCGCCGATTCTTCCAAGCCCGTTCCCTTGGTTGTGGTTTCGCAGGATGGTAGATAGGGACAGTGGGAATCTCGTTAATGTAACCCACTAGGAAAGGACAATGACTGGGGTTGGGAGTGCAGTGCATCCCGTCCTTGCTTAGGCGACTAGTGCCACAAGGGTTAGGCTGACCCTTTTTTTCTGTCTTTTTTACCCATTGTTTTTGTACAAACACGCTTGCTGGGGATAAGCAACTTGTACAAACACGCTTGTCGGGGATAAGTAACCGAATTGTTGCCCCCCGGAATAGAAGCGGCCTGTGTTGGTTTGAGAAAAAAGATATTGAGTATAATTTTTTTAACTATTAATAAAAGTAAACATAGAATAAATATAAGATATTGTATACATATAGTATTAGACAAAATATACATATGGTATAAGATAAAATGCAAAAAATCAGCATTATAAAAATTCAAATAATGTAAAATCTATGGGGGATGATGAAAAGGGAGGCGCAACTACTGGCAAAATGCTCGGTCTTTGTATTAGTCGGGCCCCCAACGGCGGCCCCAGGCCCTGCACCCTAAAACGTTAGGGCAAAGGGCAACGTGCAAGCCCCTCATTGCAAGGCAACTAGCTATGCTTGCAGGAGTTCCCCTCTGTATAGCCTTAGGAGTAGTGGTAGGTAGGTAGTCAAAGCCAAAAGAGAATTGGAGAGAATAATATAGCTTAGTTTTTATAACATAAAATAAGAAATTTCATTTTACTTGTTTTGAAGATTATAAGGTTTCGAATCTTTCAAATTTGAGGTTACTCATCTGGGTGGTGGACATCAGAGGAGCAGAGTACAAAAGACATGAAACCTGATAGCAGCACTGGTGGACAACATTTCACAGCTTTTGAAGACACTTTGAATCCGTCTTCATCATCACTGGTTGGTCAAAAACTGTACTTTTTTTTTTTTCTTTCTGCTTTCTTTTGTGTGTGTATGTTGGGTGTGTGTGTGTGTGTGTTTTGGTTGGGAACGTATCCAGTTAGCAGGACACCCATTGACCTCAGAAGATGTCCACTCGGAAAAGAGGAATGAAATGGGTGTAACCCGACGTGTGTTATGCGCCTAGGTGTATTGCTGAAACAACTTCTTTCCTTGTTTCTTTGTATGTTGTAATGTGATTTTGGGATCATTGTAGAGTGTTTGTAATGACCAATGTGCTCGATGAAGATTAAGAGTACTGAAGATGAAGGATGCGGAACTACTCGTACGTTGTAATGTGATCTTGTGATCATTGTAGAGTGTTTGTAATGGTCAGTGTGCTCGATGAAGATTAAGTTTATTTTGGTGGTGAATATTGAAGTCTGAGGACGAAGAATGTGAAGCTTTGCGATGATTAATAATTCAATTACCGTGTTCCCGTGAATATACAACATGCGTTCTACTCAAGTTTTTGAAAAATCTGAAAATCCGAATAGAATGCATTTGCGTTGTACTTGAAAATTAGGGTTGGTCGAATATAGTTCACATGCGTTGTGTTCAAATCGAAAACAACCTATGCATTGTATTCATTTACAACACATATGTGTTGTATTCATTTACAATGCACATGCCTTACGTTCGGGGAAAAACGGACCTGAAAGGACGGACTCAAGTGCTTCTTCTGGTGGGAAGGAGGTTTTCGTTTTCTGTTCTCCTACATGTTTTGCTTCTTGTGTTTTTTTTTTTTTTTTTTTTTTTTTTTTTTTCATCAAGAGCTTCAGGAAAAAGAAGACGTTTTTTGAAGGAAAGCAAAGAACGCACTCAGGTAGGACTTTCTCAACTGAATCTTTTTTTTTTTTTTTTAAGAAGTGCTCCAGTCTATTTGTGGGGAGCAACACGTGCTGGGAACCGGGCCCAGCGTCCCGTATTGAATTATACAGGTTATTGAAAATATTTGAGGTCGTTTAAGGTCATTTGAGATACCGGGGCCATTACCCGACTTTGACTGAGAAATATTTGTGAACACGATGAGATTCAGAAACATGGGGAGGATCTTGAATATCTAATGCCTATTAGGGAATTATTTATGCAATAACCTGCCACAGAGGTCCTACGAATGCTCACTACCCTCAGGTTCCCTGACAAACCCTTCTAAGACTTCCCAACACTGTCTTACTCCCTGCTGAGCTCTTCCAGGCCTCACGCCCCCACCCTGTTGGGTTACAGGGCAACACAACTCGCCCCAGCTTCGACCAGCGTCATCCCAACAACAACCCTTGGTCGTCCCTTGGGATGCCCACCACAAAGCATCCCAAGATCTCTCTACCAGGCCTCAGGCTCCTGCATTAGCAGGTTACAGGGCAACACCCAGCACCGGCCAGCGTCGTTCTAACATCGAACGGCCACGGATCACTGAGTACGACAACATCGAAACCGCCTACGATGGATTGCTAAGAAACCCTATTCGCCTGAGAACAATTTGTGAACACAATGAGATTCAGAAACATCGGGAGGATGCTTATTAGGGAATTACTCGTGCAATAATCTGCCACAGAGGTCCTACCAATGCTCACTACCCTCAGGTTCCCGGACAAACCCTTCTAAGACTTCCCAACACCGTCTTACTCCCTGTTGAGCTCTTCCAGGCTTCACACCCCCACCCTGCTGGGTTACACGGCAACACAACTCGCCCCAGCTCCGACCAGCATCATCCCAGCAGCAACCCTTGGTCATCCCTTGGGATGCCCACCCCAAAGCATCCCAGATCTCTCTCTCTCTCTACCAGGCATCACGCTCCTGCATCAGCAGGTTACAGGGCAACACCCCAACACCGCCAGCGTCGTTCTGACATCGAACGGCCACGAATCACTGAGTATAATAACATCGAAACCGTCTACGATGGATTGCTACTATTCGGATGAGAACAATTTGTGAACACGATGAGATTCAGAAACATGGGGAGGATCTTGAGTATCTAATGCCTATTAGGAAATTACTCATGCAATAACCTGCCACAGAGGTCCTACGAATGCTCACTACTCTCAGGTTCCCTGACAAACCCTTCTAAGACTTCCCAACACCGTCTTACTCCCTGCTGAGCTCTTCCAGGCCGCACGCCCCCACCCTGTTGCGTTACAAGGCAACACAACTCGCCCCATCTCCGACCAGCGTCATCCCAGCAGCAACCCTTGGTCGTCCTTTGGGATGCCCACCCCAAAGCATTCCCAGATCTCTTTACCAGGCCTCACGCTTCTGCATCAGCAGGTTACAGGGCAACACCCCAGCAGCGGCCAGCGTCGTTCTGGCATCGAATGGCCACGGATCACTGAGTATAACAACATCGAAACCGCCTATGATGGATTGCTAAGAAACCCTAAAGTCCTAAGACATTCATAAGAACAACTTACCTTTTTTTTTTTTTTTTTTTTTTTGAACTCGACCAAGTCAATAGAATATGTGTGTCAAAAAGCCTCCCCATCACAAATCAGATAGGTGAAACCTATTCAATCCACCTACGACCACCACCAGCATGGCTAATTTCAGCACGAACCGAAGCTCTTCCAGACCTCATGCTCCCAATGGCATCAGGTTAGGTTACAGAGTTGCACCACCTTGCTCCAGCACCGGTCAGCATTGCTCCAGTTACGACCCCCGATGACCACTGGGACTGCCCCCGCAAACAGCCCCCCAGAACTCTCTACCAGGCCTCACGCCCCCACCAAGCTAGGTCTCAGAGTTGCGCCACCTGGCTCCGGCTCGACCAGCGTTGCTTCAGCATCGGTCTTCGAGGGCCACCGACTTTTCAACCACCCCTCGCAGGATCACAGATGGCTTGCCAGATAACACCTATTCCTACAACCTCCTCGAGAAGCAACCAAATGGAAAGCTATAGTAAACTGGATGATAGATCGCCCCTCCCTCCCCCTACCCCTCCCCCCTCAGCCCTACGTCGAGGAGAGTCACCCACTCTCCCTCGGCCCCAATATAGGACCAATCCTCTTTCCCCCTTTCCCCAGGAGCACGCAGTTCCCACCTAAAGCATGGCCCCCCGCCCCTTGCCCATTTCCGCCTCCGCAGGGACTGATGTTGACCCACACAAAGTCCTTGCCCCAAAATAAGGCAACCCCCTACTCCGCCCCTACCCTCTTTGAGACATTCACCCCCCACCTTGCGATGCCCCTGCAGGATAGAGCTCCCCCCACCCCCTTCCCACCGTTCAGCCCTCCGCCCTTCCCGCCACTTCTATCCGCAATGTGTTGCCACAGCTGCCAATAAAGGATGCTTCCACGTAACACGCCTTTCCTCCTCCACTTGCTCGTCTTCCTCTTCCTCCTCACCCTTCGTACGCCTTTCCTCCTCCCTACCAAACCACCAATACAGGCTGGCAGCTATCTGCCATAGGAAATAGAGTAGAAATGTTTGTAGCCGGATGAATTTGGGTGCTCCTGTAGTGGCGCGTACGTTTCCTGTACTGGTGGTTTAATCTCCATCTCTTTCTTCGTTGGACCTCCTCTACTCCCGCATTTTCACACGTCCACCTCCATCATCGTCCCTCCTCCACTTCTACCCCCACCTTCCGATCTTCATCTCTGCACCTTGCTCGTCCTTTTCGGCCTCCATATCCGTCGGCAAGTGAGCCGCTGCCATGGAACAAGAAGACGAGTGTACTAGCTCAATTGGTACGGCGCTTCAGCGGCACTCAGGAGGTCATGGGTTGAACTCCCGTTGCACCCGCAACAGTGGTTGTTGGATGTTTGGCGTCTCACCTTTGAGACAGGTGAATTGTTTTTTCTATTTATCGAAGAAATTAAAAAGTAATTGACATACTACTTGTCAATGAGCCATGGGTGTCCTGAATGACAATCGTATGGCCTGAAGGACAATGGTATGGCCTCGCTACACCGCTCACCAGATGTGCAAAATAAGAATGCATCTCCCGCTAGAGCATGTGAAGGTACACTGCCGTATGTTTTGTCTTTTGTATGTGTGGTGAGCAGTGGAGCAAGGCTCTATGTCGATTTT